ACCACATATCACACCATCAACCTCGCCTACAACCACACCAACTAACAACCACATACCACACCAACTAACAACCACATACCACACCAACTAACAACCACAAACCACACCAACAACCTCACCTACAACCACACCAACAACCTCACCTACAACCACACCAACAACCACACCACACCAACAACCTCACCTACAACCACACCAACTACCATGACAGCAACAATGACCAACTACCGCACCATTTACCACAACAATGACCACACCAACAATCACATACCACACCAACTGCCACACAACAACGAAACATCTTGGCCCCTCTTTGTCTCTTGGAGACCATTGATAATAAATAAAACATGACACAGCCCTGTAAAGAAAGCATCATTCAAAAATGGAAGTCTGAATAATAGCAGGGACCTACTTGGATATCTTTAAATATCTTTATTCTCATCTGACTCCAGTCAGATCCATACAGTAGTACACAGTACAGGCCTCAGCGTAAGGTCTTAAACTGTTATCAGGAAAGCTCAAACAAAGCACAGCAGCCCAGATTGTCCCATTCTACAAAACTAAAAACACTTCTACTCATATAATGATGAATTAACCTTATAATGTACGTCTCTTCCTTGTTACACTTCTGGAGGTGGTACCTTTTAGATCAGATGTTAACATAACCAATTTTGTTTATGCTACAGCCAGAGCACATCGATAAGACACAGCAACTCTCATTCTCTGGTTTAAACTTTATGGCTGCAGTGATCAGAAAGTATAAAAATACAACACTGCATCTAACACTCAGTTACAGCATCTCCTTCAGCACGGTGCAGTTTAATGCATGTCGTTACAGAACAAACAGGAACAATCTGACCTTGTGTGCTCTCCACTGCAGTGAGGTTTCCATATTTCATGGATCTGGGCAGACCTCAGGATGTGCTGAACCACACCTGCAGCTTCTACCTCAACACAGAGGAGGATGTCTCAGTGGGAGTGTGGTAGGCCGTGTATGACCACTGAAGTGCATCATAATGTAAAAGTCCAGCATGTTGTTGGTCACAGGTGGTACTGTGTGGAGCATAGGATCCTCTCAACAACCTGTAGGAGATATGAAGCCTGTTTTTTTATGCTGCTCACTTTGCTTCTTCACTCCCTCTCTGTCTGTGTGTCTCCAAGGCATACGCTCCCCATCAGCCAATGGGMGGCAGCCACTGGGAAAACCCTCAACTGGTACCAGGAGTCCCTAGGAGACAGACGTCCTGTTATTATCTATCTCCATGGCAATGTAGGGACCAGGTGGGAAAAGAGCAGCACTGTGGAGATCCTTAAACTGATCCTAGTAGAATCTAGTGGGAACGACATGCTTCAGTGCTTTGTTTGTCCATGATTGTTGATGGGAACAAATTAGTCTAAATGCCTGTTTTTATTTTTATTTTTGCCTCTGTGTTTTACCAGATTATACAAGTATAATTGTATATACATTACTCACAAAAAGTTAGCGATATTCAGCTTTTGGGTTAAATTTCAGGATGAGCCTAAAATGCATTTAACTTTACAGGTGAACTTAATGTGACCTCTAAGCTTTTGAATGCATACAGTATATCCAACTGTTATATTTTTCAGATCTTTTTGCACAAGTTGCTGTTTTCTAAACAGCTGCAGCTGATGGTGAGAGCTCAGCACAGGCTGACATGGAGACTTCAGGAGCCTCAGGCAGACCGGGGACTTCACAATCTGACCCAGGGGCTCTGTAGGCTCAGGTGCTGGTTCTGGCTCTGAAGGCTCAGGTTCTGGTTCTGGCTCTGAAGGCTCAGATGCTGGTTCTGACTCTGTGGGCTCAGATGCTGGTTCTGGCTCTATAGGCTCAGGTGCTGGTTCTGGCTCTGAAGACTCAGCAGCAACAGCAGATGTGGAGACCTCAGCTGCAGGCGGTGAGGTCTCAGCAGGAGCAGAGACCGGTGCAGACTCAGGAGCCTCAGGCAGAACCGGGGACTTTATAATCTGACCCGGGGGCTCAGGTGCTGACTCAGGAGGCTCTGGTGTGGGCTCAAGCTCCGAAAATCCTGGTACTGTCTCAGACTCTGGAGACTTGGACAGACCTGGGGACTTATCAATCTAACCCGGGGACTCTGAGAACTCTGCTGCTGGCTTGGACTCTGGAGGCTTGTGAAGACCCGGGGACTTTACAATCTGACCCGGGGGTTCAGCAGACGCTGAGGAGAACTCCACAGGGACATGGAACACTTCCCCCACCCCTAACATCTCCCTCACAGGAGAAGGAAGTGTCGATCCTCGCTAGAGCATCAGCAACGCAGGAGGTGAAAGTGGACCCAGATGACCCAGTGGATCCAGGACCAGGCAGCTCGGTGGGAACCACCGTCTTTTTACGATGACGGTGGCGACACTGGGAGGAACTCGGCCCTGGAGGTGGAACCAGTGATGGGACGAACAACACTGATGCGTCAGCACTGTGCCGAGCACACAAGAGTGAAACCCCATATTGGTGCCTGATTGGCTAACATTTGACTGACGTCTGATTAACAAATAACATTAAAAATATGATCGTGAACAGTTCAAAGACCATCCAGAACACAGGAAATTACACATTCAGTCAGAATATTTATCAATTCTGTTTTATAGTGAAATATCAGAGGATTTAAACAAATACAGCAGCACTTTGGGTTTAGAGTGACTTGTGTTCAGTACCCAAACAGTTCTGGTCAGGAACTCCTGGCTGCTTTTCATGGAGCTACCAGGTCTTGGGCCCAGGGTCCACAAATACCTCCTGCTAAGAGAGGCACCATCTTGGTCAATTAAAATCATGTTCATGTTTTATGACTAATGATTAATATGAACTTTATAATTAATGAACATAAAAAACATTAAACACTTATTTTAAAAATTAAATACAGCTTCCTATTTGAAGACTCTTTAAAGAGTAATTCCACTGTTTTTATGTGTCTGGACCATTTTTAATGAGTTCTAAATTAAACTTTACAGTATTTACACAGTTAAACCTGATAAACCTAAACTAAATGTTGATTCTGAAACCATTCATGATTGTTTCTTGTGTTTTTCAGTTTTTAGGTGTTTTACAGTAAAATAATCTGAGATGTTTACTTTTTCCAGTTTGAAACAAATAAAATGTTTTCTATCTAATAATGTTCTTGTTATCAGATGGTTTTAAACAGGAAGAAGCAGTTTAGATCAGTCCTGTGCTGTTGAAGGA